CTGATTTTTACTAGGGTGTGAATGACTTTGTTGGAGCTGCTGGATGCCTTCCCTAAGACATTGGCAGGAGCAGGGGCATTCTAGAATCTCATCCAAAGTCCTTAGAGGATAGTCATAACTGAGTATGATATAGGAATGAAGTTCCTACAGGACCAAGAAGGCCCAGGAAGACTCTGCTGTCGGCGTGATTCTCCCTGCTTGTTATCCCTTTCCTACCTCAGGATGCTCCCTGCTCAGGAGCTCAGGGCTACTGTACTCTTTCCTCTTTCTCCTCCATCATACTGCCCTCAGGACAGACTCTGAATCTCTTCCACTCTGAGACCTCTGTGACTGATAACAGCTGAAAGGGGGCTCAGTGTGCTGAAAGCCCAGAAGGCCAGGGAAGCCTGAATTTCAAGAAGGTGGGGGGGAATGAAGATGAGGAAGTGTTGTATGTTTATGTTGTATGTTTAAAATTCGAGAGAATCCAGAGTGTTTATAAACTGTGAAGATGCCAAGAGAGAAATACAGGGATAGAAGAGAGAGCAGGAGCAAGATCTGAGGAGCAGAGGAGACATCTTCACTGGCCGAGATGGAAGAGCCTTTAAAAGAGAACAAGAATCAGGAGAGGGTGTGCTGCTGGATGAAACCAACCCGAGGCATGGGGGCAGGAAGTTGACAGCTCACACCCAAAAGCTCCCATTCTCTGTGAAGTATGGGACAAAGTTCATGAGCAAGGTGCTGGGTGGGGAGGGATGGGAGGCAGACACACACCCTCACCCCCAGTATGTTATGATCAATACACGAAATGCATTTTTTTCCTTTAACTGAGCCCACATACTCTTACCATGATGGCCGTCTTGTTTTATTTGTTCACTCTCTGTCTCCCACACTGGTCTGTAAACGCGTGAGAGCAAGGGCCTTCCTTGCTTCTCTCTTTATCACTGTTTCCAGTGCCTAGAACATAGCCTGGAACACAAGGGGCAGTCCATACATATCTGTGACTCTATAGATGAGTGATGCCCTGGTCTTTTTCCCCTGCTACTGGTGGACTTCCCTTGTAACAATGCAGAGTAGTAGTTTGGACCCAGGGTCTGAAATACAAGTGCGTGCTGTACATTCTAGTTCCAAAGCCACTTCACCTGGACATGTGATCTTAGGCAGAATCCCTGCCCTCCATCTGCCATCTACTACTGACATTAAACTACTGACTAGGAAGCAGAGGCCATACAAGCATTGGAGGGTAGAGTTCCAGCTTCTCTTTCGTTTCTCCCCATTCCTCCAGTAATCTAAGACATCCTTGTCAGTGAGCCTGTTGCAATTCTGAGTGGTGTCAGAGTGGAAGAGCAGCTCAGAGCAACAGCCATCTCGGCTCCGTTCTCACTTCCCCAAAAGGCACTTCCGGGGAGCCAGCGACAGAAATTACACTCACTATCCATCACTGGGAATTCCAGACACTGGGTTTAGTTAGCATTTGCTTTTTTTTTTTTTTTTTTTAAATCAAGATCCTCAGAGTAAGAAATATAGCTTACAATGTAATAGCTACTCATATATTCACATACGTGAAACAAGTTTCATAAAATATCTTTACAACACATAATGCATGCCAACATTTTTTCTCACTTATTCCAGCCGATTTCATGAAAAAAAAAAAGTACTGAGTATAAGCCCCTAAATTTATTTCACAACCCACAAATGGTCCTATCTTGTATGTTGAAAAATTCGAGTTTTTCTCATGAAAAATAAGTGATCCGAAATAGTCATGAGCCCCAAACGGTGAGAGTGGAATGTGTGTGTAAGGGAATTAGAGTTTCAGAAAGTCGGAGCTAGAAGAGGCCTGGAAGTAAGTGCCTGTAGGAGGAAGCGGACTAGCAAACAGCTCAGCCGGACGTTGGGAAGA